AGTTGTAATGTGTTGATCATACGTCGTACAACGAAATGCACGTAATTAGAAGTTGTAGTTTTATTTTTTTTGCACATTTCCACTAGACAGATGTCATAAATTTTTTTTTTGTTTTTCCCTTGTGACAGCTGAAATCAAGCAATCATTCATTTTATAATCATACTAAAAATGTGCCATTTATGTGCCATTTAAACACAAATACATGATCAGTGATGAAATTACAACATGCGTACAATTGGTGCATACTGCTGCTTGATTACAACTACTTACGTTGTACATTATATTGTGTGTGTACATGTATACATTCTTTTATTCAATAGTTCAATAGGCCAAAATAATATTACATGATTACACTTAATTATTGAATGAATGATTGACAAGCTAGTCATTGGATTGGTTCTTACATTACATCAGTAGTGTACAACATGGTTGTTGTATACCCTCTCTCTTTCTCTCTCTATAATCAATTTGATTATCATCAATCTAAGATTGATTACACAATTTTTCATAAAATTTTACAGGGTCATTTTATTCTTCTAGACAGACACTATTGGCACACAGGCACATGTATCTATCTATATTCTTACAAGACAACAGCTAATTAAGCTGAACTGTGAACATCAATGTCCATGTGTCCAATGGTTGCACACACATCTCATGAAAACACACACACATACAATCAGGCATACACAATTTATGCATTAAAACAATATTTACAAGTATTTTAGAAGAGATAGAGATAGAAAGTGAAAAAGCAAGTGAAAACTACACTCCATTTACTTACTATAAAAATGAATGTGCACCCAAGTGTCTATTGCAACCAAAATCTATTCATTACTCAGTCGACACTACGTCTCTTCATTTGATTTCATTGAGATTTTTTTAGATTTCTATTAGATAATATAATCATTATTATTATTATTATTATTATTATTATTATTATTATTATTAATATTCTTCTGTGTGTTGTTTTAAACAGCCCCCCTCATCAATGTACATGAACATGATTGCATAATTTACAAATTGAATTATTCACTTCAATCATACATATATAAATATATAAATGAATTAATTCTCTGTTTAAGTGTTTCTATTTTGTTCAAACTCATCAATTTCGATAAGATTTTTTTCTTCAAAACATACAAACTACTTATACACATACATACATTCAAAGTAGTATAGATATAGTTTAGAGAAAAAAAACATTAACATTTTTAACAAAATCATCAGTATAAAAAAAAAAACATAATTCAGTGTGGATATTTATTTTGAATGATTTAAAAACAAGATTGACCTTGATTTAACTTTACTACAACTCATCATCATCATCATATTGAACTAAGCATCATTTTTGGTCTAATGTAATTTTACGTTTTTATTTCTACATGGAGTTATTTCAAAAATAAGTTTGTGTTTTTCTTCTTTGACAAAACAAACAATCATTGTGACATTGAACACAAATAGTGAAATTGAACAAAGTGTATATTTACAGCGAAACCATTTCTATTCAAATATAAACTAACTACAATTGGAAATATCATGGAAATTTTAGAAATCTATAATTTATTTTCACTTCTACTATCTTATAATATTTATGCTCAATATATTGGAACATTTATACCAAATGATCATTTGAATAGATTTAAATTTCCAATTAGCAGCTATCTAACCGATCAACATTATTTACCAAATAAACTGTCATCGTCAGCGTCATCGTCACGTGGAGCGGCAGTGGCGGCAATGTCATCAGTTTCATTGCCAAAACTATTTTCCTCTTCTTCATCTTCCATCTTTCCATCATTGATGCAAGCAAAAATGCAAAATAAATTTGTTAATTTTGACGATACATTTTATGATGATGCTGATGATGATGCTTCGTCAGTATTATCGGACAGGAATTCGTTCGTATCAGTAAATAGTCATCCATTGAATAGTAGAATGGTTAAACAAATGCCTATCCCTGCTACTACCACTACTACTAATAACACGAATACTACTACTGATAACAATATAAGTAACAATGATAAAGACACTATAATTATCAATGGAATTCATGATAATTTACAAACTTCACATTTATGGATAAAACATCATGATTTGAATACTGTGTACAATCAACAAGCAATGAAACAATCACAGCATCAATTGAATTCATATCCAGATAAACATCATTTATTCAGTGGGACAAAATCAAAATTGATGCATTCGCCTAGTTCATTATCTTCTTTTCATCGTCCGACAGCCTACTCATCAATTATACGAAGAATGTATAATCAAACTTTGTTGAATCAACGAAAACACCAGTCAAAACATAAACCTAATAAGGTACAACAACGACAACATCCACAACAGCAGACGGTTATTAATCACAATGAAAGTAATGCACAGATTAAAGAACCTCAAGTCAAAGGACGTTGGTGGTAAGTGTGAAAGAAATTTACTTTACGGGGTTGTGAAGATTGTTAAGTTGCACATTTTTGAAACCATGAATCGATCAATGTTAGACCACCACCATTAGAAACCTGGTCCTGGGTTCGAATCCTGCGCGGTACAGGAGTCGTGGATGCGCACTGCCACTGATGAGTCCCATACCAGGACGAAACTGCCGTCCAGTGCTTCCAGGTTTCTAATGGTGGTCTAACATTAATCGATTCATGGTTTATAAAAATAACTTGTCACGAATTAATTTCGATTGGAAGTGGACAGCTATTTTCCACTAGAATGACACCGTGGGTGTGTACGAATGGAAAGTTTATAAACTGGCGTTAAAGATACTTTTAATAACGTAGGGCTGTTCAAATGGGCTATATGTATGGGTTATGCATCAGCTTTGCGCAATGTAGAATTTTCTATACAACATTTTATTACTACTTATAACTCTGATTAATTAGTTATTTGTCTGTTGATAATTATTCTTTAGATTTAATTATGATAAATACGTGAATTGAACTGACTGATCAAATGGAACGGCAGTTTTTTTCACTGGTGTTGTCTTTGATAAGAACGTTTTTAAACTTGTCATCCTTTATTTGAACTGGTATTCAAACATTTTTTTATGTCAAGTTGAAAATTACTGAGAGAGAGAGAGAGACGGGGAAAGAGGGGATAACTACTTTAGTCAGAAAAATAGTTGGTTTTTATTTTTACTGCAAAGACTGAGTAATGTTACATACAGCATGAAACATGGTGTTGAACAATCGTAATAATAATACACAGATAGATGAATGATCTGATTGAAGTCGAATATGTAGAAGATGTTGAACACTGACAGTGTAATTTATGCGAAATAGAAGTAATTGTAAATGTTTCATTTATATTTACTAATTGGAATTTAATGAATTTATATTTGTTCTACGCAATTGTAAATCTAATTGAATCGAATCAGTGTTTTTAATTGAAAATGTTTGTGTACACTTATGCATGCTACTACTACTACTGAGAAGACTTAGGCAGGCGAGGAAGATTGTATTATGCAAATTTACCCTCTGAGTCATTTAAAAACGAAAACATTATATTGAACACTCTATTTGCACACCATCTTTGAGTCGTGACTTCCAACGCTGCATTCTTCTGCCATTCCTGTTGGTACTCCATTTACTTCTTGCTTTTGTTCCATTTGCTTTCCGTTTTCCTCTTGTGACCGTGAGACTTCTTCTTTCACGTCCCTTCTTATACTACTTATATCGTTCGTATAAGTAGCACACACCACACTACTACTACCACTACTACTACTACTACTACTACTACTCACATTATTACTACTCCGACTACTACCACTACTACTACTACTACTCACACTACTACTACTACTACTACTACTACTACTACCAATACTAATACTACTACTGTAGTGAAGGAGAACGCGGGTGAATGCAACCGAATTGTATTTAACGAAAATTACAGAGTTACTCAGTAAAATAGGAAAACCATATCGCGTAAACGGTTAATTTGCAAATCTTCAATCCATCATCAATCCATTGTCTGACATTTCACTTATTCATGCGTTTCATACAAATCCCCTTGCGTTCCCACTCTTCCTTTCTTCATCTTCCCCCATCTTCTGCTGCCAGACATTACGTTTTCACTCACGTCATATACTACTTATAAGTAGCTCGCACCACAGTAGTACTACTACTACTACTACTCTGTTCAGCTAATAAACTTTAAATCAACTATTTTTTTCTACCTTAGACTTTCAGTAAAAACAGGATAACTCTTTTTTACAAAAATGCGAATTGTTGACGATATCTGTGTGTATGTGCAAGCAAGCAAGTAGGGTTTAGTTAGTTGTATTATCAAGTTAGAAAGTAGAACTGGTTTTCCCAGGTAAAAAATAGAATTTGAAAAATCTCATTTTAGAAAAAAAAATAATTAACTCAATTTTAGTTAAATTATTCTTGAAAAAGTTGAATGTGAATTTTTAAATTTTTAAAAAAAAAACACGAAATCGACCAGTTGATAATAGATAAACTACAATTACATTTATTACTGAATATTTCTGAGAAATTTAAATGCTCTCCATATTTATACTGATTTAGTTTACGTGAAAAAACTGAATAATGTTTCAGAGAAATATTTAATGAATTATACAAACCCAGCTAATCAAATATATCCAGTTAGCTGACATGAAAATTTCATTAATCAATATAGAAATTAGAACAACACATATAAGCGAACAATATTGTTGTTTTCGATTAGATCGTCATCAGGCTGCTTTACTCTAATATACATGAATATTTATACGGAAATGTTAAACCAATCAAGGCAACACATCAAGACATCACACTAAGTAGGCGAAATGACGGTTCACTAAATAGAAGCGTGTATAGAAAAAATCCCAGTGCTTGCCAATATACTCACTTTTACACCTATCCGCTACAAAAGAAATTTGGTTAGATGTCTCACTAACAGAGCAAATATGATATGTTCAGTGGATACTTTAAGTCAGGAGCTGGAATTCATCAACGGCTCACTAACCGAGATTGGTTATCCCAACGCATTTATAAAGAAGTATATGTTTGCCGTAAAAAAGAAGTCGGTGGTTTCGACCACCCAAAAGAAGCCTTTATTTATGAAGTTACAATTCAACGGAGATGTGGCCTGCGATACACTGCAGGACAGATTAAGAAGAGTAATTAATAGAACACTCAACGCTGCCAAACTTGCACTGACATTCTCCTTTCGACCAGCGATGTCTACTCAAACGAAGAATAAGTTACCTGAGTTGGCCTCCTCTATGTGCATTTACAAATTCAGCTGCTCTTGTGGAGATAGCTATATCGGGCGTACTTCCAGGCAACTTAACCAACGAATGAGTGAACATCTCCCAGCATGGTTTACAAAGGGTCAGTCAAAAACAATACGCACTCCGATCTTAGCACACCTGGTAGATAGTGGTCACATTGTAGATAAATCTAGATCTTTTCGGGTGATCTATCGTATACCTCCATCATTTCTCAACGGAGTTCGATCCCGTCTCCTACACACATTACAGAAGCCATAGGAATACGTACATTCAACCCTAATTTATGTGTTCAGAAGAAATTTGTGACACCCCTATCTCTTCGGTGGCCGGATATGACGTAACTAACGATTGACATATTTTTATTATTTTTTGATTTTTTATTTCATTTTATTTTTACACATTTGCTTATTACGTAATGTTTTTGACGTTTTTGATGATTATTTGAATTCTATTCATCCACCCTTGACCCACATTAGTTATCATATTTTACAAATTTTCTTACTACTATCAGTACACCTGTTTTCCTATTATCCACTTGAACTTTTGCCTATTAGATGTAGTTACGTAATCTTTTTCATTTCATTGTGATTATCACTCAAATTGCCTTGATTGGTTTAACATTTTCATATAAATATTCATGTATATTAGAGTAAAGCCTGATGACGATCTAATCGAAAACAATATTGTTCGCTTATATGTGTTGTTCTAATTTTCACAATGGGAATCTTTAAAAATATAGAAATTAATTGTAAATGTGTTTATATGCTTTTCAATCGATATATATGCTTAAAACTAGTACGAGTTCACCTTAGTCAGTAAACGAGAGTGAAGACAAAATGATCCATTGACACAATAGGCTACTCTAATCCGAGCGTTACAAGGCCTCATTAATTAATTAGAGGAAGAAGTCTTGGCAAGACGTAGAAAGTGTATTCTACAAGCAATCAGAAAATATGAGGTTGACAAGCACACAAATTGAGTACATTTATACATCATAGAAACGTCCTTGGGAGAGCCACAAAATTAGCATACTAGAAAATAATACATCAACCAATAAAAGTCAAGAATTTTCCAGGTGGGAAATATAATCTCAAGCTCAAATGATCAGCAGCCCATGCGCTAAAACATAAAATCCAAAACTAAAACCTTTATCAAGTGAGTTCTGGGGATCTAACATCCCCGAAAAAATGAATTTTAGTTTGTATTCAAATTTTCACACTAAAACCGATCACAGACAAATCATTAAGTCGCTTTTTCTACTAAATAATTACTATAGTTTGTCAAAAATTTACTGAAGCTGAAATCGCAAATCACTGAAGTATTACTACAAAGTCTTTCTAGGGTAACTAATGAACGATTTATGAGGAGCCTAAATTATAATGAAACATTTATCCGCTTACAAACTGTTCCTCATTGTATCAAATTCAACTCAAATCTGGGTGAACTATTCTCCGCAAATTACCAAACAACTGAAAAATACTGAGTTATTTCTTGTATAATGTTACTCCCTACTTATGACTCGTAAACTGAATACATTGGATTTAAGGGCACTCTATCGAGAGATCCTATAAGAATGGCGATATACCATCATCAGAGATTGATCGTAATTCAGTTTTAAATAGGAACAGTGCGTAAATACAAATACTGACTAATTAATTTGTTAAGTATATACAACATCTTTCAACATCTTATTATAATCAGTTTCAAAACCTTTATACTGTTCTAATTCTTAAACTAGTAATTCCTAACGCTATTGACTTAGAGCAATCATTGATGTAGTACAACAATCATGAATTCAGGCTTTTAAGTTTATTTTTTCCCAATTTATTTGGATTACTCACGAAGAAATTGTCAGATTAACGATTTTTTTTCAATTAAAGTTATGGAGATCATTGTTTTCGCCCGTATAAATCGTGAATCAATCATTGTGAAACCAAAATGTGTACAATATGCTCACTAGTGACTAGTTTCGTGAGAAAATTCTAATAGTTCTAGTGAGAAGACCTGACCGGTAGTTTTCAATCCTGTCTGGTTTAGACAGTAACAACCAAAGACAAATAGGTGAGGTCACGCAAAATCCCCAGATTGATCATAGTTAGGCAATAATACCGTTGGATGCCGGCCTAGTGGTCCGGAGGTTAGGCATTCGTGAGCAAGACCGGAGGTCCTGGGTTCGAATACTGCGAGTAGCAGATTTCTTCCTCCACTGGAATCTGGTTTGTTCTCTCCCACAGTAGACTGTTGCTAATGATGTCTGGCTAACGAATACGAAGTATTTTGCGTAGACAACTGTTAATAAACACTTGTATCTTCTGGTTGATGGCTTTCGTAGTTCTTCAAGTTTCCACTCCATACAGTATAACTCTGTTGACATTTGTATTGAAAATCTTGATTTTGGTGTTGATTGAAAGTTGTTTGTAGTTCCAGATATTTTTCAACTCTAGAAATGCAGCCCTTGCTTTGCCAATCCGTGCCCTCACATCTGCATCGAATCCACCTTTCTCGTCGATGATGCTGCCCAGATATGTGAAGGTGTTAACGTCCTCCAAGGCATCTGCATCAAGAGTGATTCGGTTGGCTCATGTTGTGTTGTGGTATCGATTGATAGTTGTTTGAAGAACTTTAAAACTATGCCTGTTCAATCAAATCTTATTTATATCTACATGTACTGTTTGACACAGTAGAAATTATTTTCCCCATACATCAACCTCTTTTATTTCTTTTTTCATTTCATTTAGATGATAGATAGATTATCTTTACAGAGTAAACACATGTTATTTTTGTTACGTTAAAGTTATTGTATGAATGAATCGTTCTCCCTACTAATCAGCTGTTTTGTACAGTTGATTGACTGACTGTTTTGACCTTAAAATCACATGACAGTTTATGATTAGAATGAACTTTCCTTTACTAAATGTACAGACACTGACAGAGCTATTGAAAAAAATTGTTAAATAATCATAAATTATTAGTAAGCGGTAAAGGTAAAATAAAAATATCAACTCTGTAGTTCAGTTATTATCCACCTAACACAAGTGCCCTCTCCCCGCCAATCCTGGATGTCACTATTCACTACCACCTAACTCGACATAAACAATAAGAGTTTGAACAAGGTTTCTAATGGTGGCCTAACATTGATCGATTCATGGTTTCAAAAATGTGTAACTTAACAATCTTCACAACTCCGTAATGCAAAATACCTGTGCTCACTAGTGACTAGCTTCGTGAGGAATCTTCTCGGAGTTCTAGTGGTAAGACGTGACCAGTGAAGTTTAACCTGTTCGAGTGTAGTCAGTGTCTACCAAAGACTGTGTATGAGGTTGCGCAACTTTGTGAATTTGATCAAGTTAGATATTAACAACGTTAGTCACCGGCTCAGTGGTCTAACGGTTAGGGCGTTCGCGCACAATACCGAAGGTCCTGGGTTCTTTACACATTTGAAATCATCAATTAATCATTGTTGGACTATTATTAGAAAAATGGAAGCACTGAATGATGGCTGTTTTGGTTACATTACGAAAATCATTCGCAGCACTCATCCACGACTCTTGCACCCCACAGGATTTGAACGCAGGACCTCCGGTCTTGCTTGCGAACGCCTAACCTCTGAACCAATTGTCT